ATATTGAAATTATATTTAAAATTTCAGTCAATTTAGCAGTATTTATTCAAAAATACTTTTTAAAAACGCTGGAAATGCAGTCTTAAGCATTCAGTATTGCAAATTTTTTTCGAAGAAAGATATTCCTTAACAATGTGATATTCGTTAACCCAAAAATATGAAATTTAAGGAAATTTTACTAAATCTGAGGAATTTTTACCGAGAATCTAAGGAATTCCACGCGATCGGAAATGAGAGCACTGCTTGTGGGCATGCATGTCGAAGCTTCGTAGTCAAAATTTGTATTTATAATAGCTAAAATTTAAATTTATAATGAAGGGATCAATGAAATCCGGTCATCAAAAGCGAACCGAAAGCAAGAGAAAGGCGCTACAACAGTCAGCAAATGCTCCAGGGCAACGATCTTTGTTTGAAATGTTCAGATCAACAACAACAAATAGCAGTACTACAACTAATACCGAAAGGGAATGCATCGGTACAGCTGAGGAAAGATCAAATGAAATCATTGATTTTTCAGGTGAGAAATCACAACATGTTGAACTTCCTGATCCTGTACCTGTTATGGTCGTTGTTGAAAGCGATACTCAAGCAAAGGAAACTACGAACACTTGTGGAAATATTGCAACTGTATCAACGTCAAAGTCTGATTCTAAAAATTCCAACGACTGGTATAGGGGGATGAAGCTAGATGTCGATTGGTTGTTAGATGCTGCGAAGTGCCTAGTGTTGAAGAAAGAAATAAAAGATAAAAGAAAGAGACCAACTGTTACATGCTTATTATGTAACAAGTACGAATTTCAGGTACGAAAGATGACCTCAAATTGCCAGTTACCAATAGCAAACGGTGTACGTGTTGATGGAAAGGACAGACTTAAACATGTTGTTGATCACTTACTTTCTCCAGCACATGAGGAAGCCGAACGATTGAATGATTGCGACAAAACTTGGTGTGATAAGTCCGATAAGCATCCTTGGGTAAGAGTTTTTAAAAAGTGGAATGACGAGAAATTACAGGGCCTGGTTCGTATTGCAATCGATGCCTACAATGACTCGCAGGTTGAAACCTTAAGTGCTCGAAGCTGGCCCTCAAGATCCCTTGCAGTAGAGCACAGTAATCATTTGTTGCACCACTTTGAGTCACAGGGATGGGATGCTGACTTTGTACCTTTTGATCCACCAGCATCCTGTTATCACTATAGAGATCCAATGCTTTATGCTGAAATAAGAAACATCATTGCAAAACAAGAAATGAAAAAAGTTGCACAATTGTTAAAAGACTGCTTGTGTTACTCGGTGCAGATTGATGGAAGTGCTGACAAGCAGCAAGTTGATTCCAAGTTTATAACTGCTCGGTATGTGCCATGTGATGAAGTCAGTTTTAAAACAGTGTTTCTTGGTATTGCAAGTAGTGATTTAGGAGGAGCTGAGGGGCTGTTAGATTCTTTCACAACATGTATTGAAAACATTGGCATAAACACTGATAAATTGGTTGGTGTTACCACTGATGGAGAAAATGCAAATACTGGAAAAAATGCTGGTTTATGGAAGCTTCTGCAAGACTATATCGGAAGAGATATTCTGACAATATGGTGTGTCTGCCATCGATCTGATTTGGCACTTGAATCGGTTCAGGCTGAGGTTCCTGAGCTCACGATATGGATGTCCAATGTTCTTGCTGTTGCAACATTCTTTCGAACATCTCCTCGCAGGACAAAACTACTTCATAAGGTTTGCTTTATGTTATTTTTTTGTGCATTTAATTAATATACACTATTTTCCAAATCTTCTTTTTACTGCATGGTTGATTTTGTACGTTGATTATTGATACTGTTTTCTATCATAGTATTTAAATCTGCTCTTTGTTCCATTCAATTTTCTGAATAGGTTGAAGGTCCCAAACATTTTGATGTCAGATTTGCTGAGCACACAAGAAATCTACTGAATGCTGTACTGCATAACTTGGATGCTGCAAGAAGAGTTTGGCAGGATATGGTAGATGGCACAATAGAGAGCAATAGTAAGGAAAAGCAAATGGCTAAAGGCTTCATTGAAAAGTGGTATAAGGGATCAAGACAGGTAGAGTACTCAGTACGGTCAGAGTGTCAGCACACTCAACTGGGCAGCAATTTGTGAAGGAGTGACTAGGCATAAAAATACTTTCAGATTTCAGAATGCTTGATGAACGGCAATGGTTGTTACATGCATAATTAATTTCAATTAGAAAATAAACTTTTGAACGCCTTTAGAGTACGATTACAAAGACTTGCTTGTTAAAGTGCTTTGTTTTTTCTTTGTACTCTTTAGGTATGGCTCACAGCTGTCATGTTTGATCTCTGCACAATCTTTGAGACATTACAGAAGTTGTTTCAGAAATCAAACTTGATTCTTCCAGATGTGTTAACAGCAAAAGATTCTGCTACGCAGAACTTGAAGATTATGAATGACATACCAGTTCCAGGTGGGAAAGAGGAGCAGAATTTGGAGTTGCACGATAATGAGCAAGGTAGACCTGTGAGACGAACCAGTACAGCACATCAGTTTGTGACAAGCCAAAACAGGAATAGCAATGCTATAAGGAATGAAATTGTGCAGTCCGCCATCAATTTTCTTGGGCAACGTATGAACACAGAAAATGATGGCACAGTTGAGAGTTTGATGAGTATTCTAGAAGCATCTTCATCTAAGGACTTAATTTTGGCCAGTAGAAATCTTGTTTCTTCGATTCTTGGACCAAGCTGCCTGTCAGATTTTGTCAGTGATGTTTGCAAGTCATGGAACAACCTGGCCAAAATTGAGCATGTTGAGGTGGAAGACACTGGAACTATGTATGCTCTTCGCCTTAGGAAGATGATACAGGCAAGTACTGGTTTACTTAAGAAATTCCTAGCATCTTTTCTTACCCTTGTCCCTCACAGCATGGCAACTGAACGAGTTGTTTCTCATTATAACAATGTGAAGACATCGGGCAGGTCTTCGCTTAATCCTGAGACAATAAATGGTATATTGCATATTTCTCTGAATGGAAAGGGTGCATCCTTTTTTGACCCAAGACCAGTGGTATCAGAGTTCTTAACTTCGAAAGAAAGAAGAAACCGAGAGCCGTGTGAAGAACTGTACAAACAAAGGGAATTTGTGAAACATTTCTTCAAGCAAGAATCCGGATGTCTGTGATTCACAGAATATCTTTCAGAGATTCATCAGAATAGCATACAGTATATCTTAAATATAACTAGTATGATACTTTTTAAATACAACATTGGTTGGTGAGCATACTTAAACTTGTTGTGTTTGAATCTTAATTTCAAATTATCACAAATTTCACTTTTAAAAATTTCCTTTGAGAACCTGAGATTTCTTTAAAAAGTGTTCTCAGAATGCAGGAAATGCTATTTCAGAGACCAAAATTTTAAAAAATTCCTGAGGGCATGTGCTTAAACCCACCTTCGGTGTTCGCGTACTATCCAGGGAAAGGGAAAAAAAATGGCCTGGGCCCTTTGGTAGTTTTGCCCCACCACTGAAGAATCCTTAAAAGATGCCCTGGTACGTAATGGCATATACATGCAATGTTAACCAAATTTTAGTAAATATGCGCTTGTACATAGGCTAATACAGACCAAGTTAATGACTCGGCAAAACTATACCCAGGGGGGGGGTGTAACATCTCCCCACCCCAATAATTCAAAACATTGGTTTTCAGTTGGTAAAAGTTGGTCAAAATGGAAAATATTTGCTTAAAATTGAAGGTCAAAGTTGGTAAAATTTGGTCAAAGTTTGAGATAAAAGATGGTCAAATTTGCTCAAAGTTATGAAATTGTTTGCAATTTTAACAATTTTTGTGCTTTGGTTATGTTTTCACTGAAAAAATTGCAAGCCTTGCTTAATGCTTATTTTGGTCAAAAAATTTTTTGACCAACCAACCCCTCCTCCCCGTCCTCAACATTTTCAGGAAACATTGTTGGTCAAAATTCTAGAAAAAATTGGTCAAAATATGACGACACACCCCCCAATGTTGATGCCTTCGCGATATCCCCTGACTATACCTCACCCTCTCCCCCACCCACCCACCTCCATTGAAACAGGACTAGCTCCGCTATTACCATTGACTGAACTTGAGTGGAGCATTGAATAGTTGATTTGACTCAATCAAATCAACTAGTGAAATGAATCAACTCTGACAACTCATGACTTGAATTTTGACTCTTTGAGTAACTTGAACGAGTTAAAAACTACCGGGTAATAGATTTGACCAGGGAAAGTGTTATATAAGGCCTGGGTCAAACGACACTCTTCTCATGCACTGCCGAACCTAATAAGTGCTACACAAGAGTGACATTTCATTAGGTTAATCGCCAGAATGGATTAGGTGTAACAGAAACATTTGGAGCAACAGGTCTTGCACTATGCGATTCTGGAGCGACAGCAATTCAAACATTGTTCTTCTCATGTGCCAAACCTAATCCTTCAATTAGTTTTATATGTAATTTGTTTTCGTGTATTTTATATATTTTATATATTTATGTTAAAGACCATGTCAAGTCTGTTCTGCGCATCAGTTCTGCTCATAACAAAGGGGGACCCACAGATATAAAACATTGCCCAAATTTTGCATCTTTCGAACTTTTTTGAATTGAAACGTACTCTAGTTTATATTCATTTACAATAGCGAACCGGAAAAGTGTTAGATATTCAGTTAGTATGTCTTATTTTACAAATATAGCAGTTCAAAATGTAAACAAAGGATTTGTTTACATTACGGACTTGACATGGTCTTTAACCCTTTGAGTGGTAGCACTCTCCCCCTGAGGAGTAAAATCGTCTGGCATTAGACAGAGTAAAATAATAAAGTAGGGCACATCTGGGCATAATGCCACTTAAAGGGTTAAAACATGATTTACATTCGAAGCGATATGGCGCATGAAAAACTCGTCCATTGGGGGGGGGGGGGGGCATATGGCCCACAGTGCCATAATATGTGATTGTGATCCACTAAAAATTTAAATCTACACTAGTTTCTTTATACCTATATCATTTTGAATCTCGTGAAACAGACTCGGCGTAGTTTCGATAACTTTGCGAGAACCGCTCAGTGTTTTCCATGTATTAGGTCGAAGAACTGGCGATAAGCCTTGTCGTATATAAACACGCAATTTCTTATAGCATATCGATTTTGACGTTTTGTCAAACGATTCCCCACAGCGAAGTATTTCTTCGACAATGGTAACCATCGATAGTTCGTCCTCTTCAAGTACGGCTGTGAGATGATCTTCAGGTATCGAACGATCAACCCAAGCAAGATGGGTAAAACCAGCCATATTCTCGTATTCTTATGTCAACATGACATGACACAAAGCACATTTTCGCACGTCACCCTACCTCCTCCGCAGGCCATACAGCCCGTAATGAGAATGCCCGTTCGCAGGTTAAAATTTGAAATCTGAGACGATATCTGCTGTAAGTTTCCCACCATTTTATATTTTTGAAAGGCCTGCGGAGGAGGTAGCACGCACTGAGCTATACTCATATACTGCACGTCAAAGCACGTCACCTCTGTCATCAGTCTGTTCCAGGTCTGTTCTCGAGCATTGGTCACGAGACCCCATGCACGAGACGTATACTCAGTGAGCTCTATATATTTCTGGAGCGAGAACTTTAGTCATTCGCCATCTCTTTCCAAAATTACAGTCAACAAAATATAAGAACCTTCCCTTGTGCAAATTGTTCTTTTTTTCTGTAACGGCTACCAAATTATGAGCAAACACAGGAAATATTTTTCAACCTCCTTAATTACTTCCATAGAAATAGTATGGATCTCTCTCCTCCGCAAAGCCTCCTTAATTAATTAAGTATTTACCTCTGAGTATTTACAACTAACTTACATGAAGTTTCCTGAATAAAAGTGGGCGCGCGCGGCGTGATGAGAAGATTGCAGGGGCCGAGCTTTCCTTTATTTCGCTCTTCCCATCACTCCTTGCGCGCTCACTTTTCCCTCACTAGAAACTTCATCTGCGGAGGAGAGGTGTGGATCTTTATATGGATTTATAGTGATGCAATCTCAAATATCCGTGGTATGAATTTTACTATTTTTCCAGTGAAATATTTAGTTTTCTTTGTTTTGTATGATATATTATAATATAGCATTTGTAAATTCTGAACGCTGATAGGCTAAGAGCCGTGTTGATATAACTCCATGTCAACACGGGAAATTTTCCGCCGCTTGTAACACGGAAATTTTTCATATTCTTCGGGCTTTTGACATTGCTATATTATAAAACAAATATAAAACATTTTTTCCGTATTGATATATAGTTATATCAACAGTCGTGGAAGTTGGGAAAACTCGAAATTGTGTGAAAACACTCCGCCCTTCGGGCGTCGTGTTTCCACACAATTTCTCGTTTTCCCAATTTCCACTCGTGTTGATATAACTGTATATCAACACGGAAAATGTTTTATATTTGTTAAATAATTCATGGCATATAAACTATCGACGCAGCTGTATTCTTTGTTACTACGTAGTCACTGAATGCATTTTAACACATATTAAAAAGGTGCACTAGAATTTGAATTTTATGATTTATCACAGTATTTGTCTATAAATCGGTAACCGTTACAGACTTACAGTAATAAAGAAAAACGTTTGAGAAAATTGTAAAAACCACAGCCTGCAAAAGCACGCAGCGTAATTGCGCTGCCCATATATGCCTATAATTGCCACGTCGAAAGTTTAGTCAGTCAACCACGCTTATATCTCTTTAAGACTGTGGTCTCGACTTTATTGTTTTAAAACAGCAAACCAATCCTTTTTCAGCTCAGTAAGTTATGTTTTATTTGCCTGATATGATCCAAAAAAAGCGAAGCTTCCTATTTTTAAGCAACATCACACAAGTGTTGCGTCAGGTCCTTTTCTGTACGCAATTTTTTTTCAAAAAAGCATAGTTTTCCAGGTATAAAGTGAGGAAACTGTAAACTGTAAAAGAACTTACTAACTCATTTTCTCTCCACTATTCAAAATGTTGTGACATAAGCACTTTAAGACATAACCTTAATTTCGGGAAGATATCGAGTGTTGCCTATGAAGTGAGGCATTTCTCTCAAAAAAGGACTCGTGCAGGAACAAAGCTAAACGTACGTCGTGTCCTAGACTCTGGGAAAAGTTCTGCGAATGTAACTTCGACGATCACCTAAGTCTTTAGTTAGAACCAAGCGCACACAGTATTTTCAATCTCTTCCAACACTGTTAAAATCGAACAACAAAAGGTCCTGGTCAGTGTTTAAAGCCACCTCCAAACGCTCGAATATTCCTGGAAAAATGACATGGACCCACCAAGACTGTTCTCCCACAACAGCTGAAAATCCAATCGACATAGCTAACCTGCTAAATCGCGTTTAAACCATGTGATGCCGCTTACAGGGCCGTAGCGAGGGGGTATTGGGGGGGGGGGTTCCCCCCAACTCTTTTAGAATTAACATATTCGGAAGATCGGGTTGGCCATTCGGAAAATTAGGGCAATAATAGTATAACAAAGTTTTAGTTGTTAAACAGAGAAAATATAATATAATTGTATTATCAGTATAAACTGATTTACGAAATAATGGCATTTACATGGATAACATTTAACAAATCATAAATCGGTAAATATTTTCCGGTTTATTACTTCTCAGGGCCGTAGCAACCGGGGGGGTGGGGGGTGCAACCCTCCCAATAATTTGCTAATAATCATTCTTTTTTTCAAAACCATGCAGACCTTTATCATTTAACATTAAAGTTTCGCATTACATTACAATTCAATTTTTCAAATGTAAATATCGCGGCGAGTATTTACCCCCCTTTAAAACAAAACCTACCATTGTAATCCTCACAAAATAACCTTTCGAACGGGGGGTCAAGTGTTGTCGAACATTATACAAACAAAAACAATCATATAGTTATACTCACCGCTTCGCCAAACATTCAAACGATAAAAAGAGAAAAAGTTGAATATCTTCTAAAGTTTTCGTCATTTTCGGAAAGGCTATATGTGCAAAATACTCTTTGTATTCAAGCGCTTTAGTGTAGAAAGTTTCGTATGAATACGACGAGTAGAAATATTTATTTTGAATTTTTAAAGTATCGGGTTTTACTCGCACGCGCTTGTATTACGTAATACTTGGCCAATAAGGAGCTCCCTTTAGCCGGGATGACGTCAAACTCACGCGTATGGGTGCACTTTGACCTGTAGAATCCATTTCTGGCATTTCCAGAGTCACGCGATACAAGCGTGGCATTGTTTTGACGAGTTTTCGTCGTATTTCCGGTTGGGATTATCACAAATTCGGAGCAAAAATGTAAAATTCGGCAGTAAAAGTCACCCTTTAAGGATAGAAGCTTGGAAATAACGTTATACATGGCATTTTAAATGATTAATTCATCAAGAATATCGCAATGAGCATACGTTTCAAGGGGCCGAAGTTACATTCGGCGTAAGGTATGTTTATGTTTTTATAATTTGTTGGTAAAATGCGTAATTTGATCGTATTCGATCTCACTTTACTTTTAAAGCTCATAAATCGCTATAATGTTGCCAATGACTAAAACTATTGCTACGAGTGAGGAGATCTTGTCACACTGAATCGAATGGTGGTATTTTTGTCCTCATAGCATTCAATGAACCGAAGATATTAAATCGGCAAAGCGTATTGCTTACAAGCATTGCGGTAATAGGGTCGTGTCGTTAAAGAGTTTCGGGCGTCGTGTTTCCACACAATTTCTCGTTTTCCCAATTAATTTTAAGCGGCTACATTATCCATGAAAAACTGCAAAGAATCATACTACCCATACTTTCCTGCAACTTCTCCAATATATAGTTAATTAAATACGCCTTCGCCCATTTAGTACTACTAAATTGTAAGCAAATTGTAAATTTCGACAAACTAAAACACTGTTTTATAACAATCAGAATTCTGTCAAAACTTCCCCAAAGTCCAGGAAATGGCATTTCCGAGACTCTAAATTTAAAAATTTTTCAGCCCCCCAATCAAAAAGAGCTCCCTACGGCACTGCATGCTTCTGTAATACGCCTATGCGTAAAACATGTGTATATTTGTTTGTATATTGAGTCTTCATTTTCCAGATAGCAAACACCTTCGTGGCTTCGTATGCCATGAACTATTCGGAAATTTTTTTCGTCATTCGGAAATTTTTGGCCTCCCACCCCGCCAACTATGCCTGTTAGCTACGGCCCTGGCCGCTCATCACACCCCTCGAGCTCTTCCTGCAGCTGCTGACGACGACTCGATTAATCTAATAATCATCTCAGATCTTGAGTTGATTTAACTGAAGGAGAAGTCTGTTAAAACTCTCGACGTATAAACAAAGCCACTGGTCCTGCATGACAAAATTCTGGGGGTATTGCTTTTAAAAAACCTGCGCAGCTAACATCAGTCCATCTTTATGCGAACTTTTCAAAAACACAGGCTTTCTGGCATCCTTGTGTAGAAAAGTAGGACAAAAGTAGGACTAGAATTTTAGGAAAAGTAGGAATAGAGTAGGGAAATGTGTAGGAAAGTAGGACAAAAGTAGGAATTTTTGGAGATAATGCAAATATCACAAAAATATACAGAATTGGCCCCCTAGGATATATGTGGTAAGGGGTGGACCATTAGATATCTGATGGGGAAGTTGTGTTAATTTTTGGTGCTCAATATTTTTTTGTACTCATTCATCGATGCAGGATTTTTTTCTCAAAACGTTTAAATTGTATCGGTATAAAAGCTAAGGCATCTGCTCTGCAGCAACCCAAGTCCAAGGTATTCAATACCGTAATTTAGTTGGTATATCATGTGTCTGAGATGTCTTGGCATGAAACATGATTGCACTGATGGCACTAAGAAACGTTGGAGCCGCTTGTTTGAAATAGCAAAACCCCTTTTCAAATAGCAAAACTCCCTTTTCAAATAGCAAAACACCCTTTTCAAACAGCAAAACATCCTTTTCAAATAGCAAAACTCCCTTTTCAAATAGCAAAACTCCGTTTGCTATCTCGTAGTCTGAACATACTTTTCAGAAACCTGTACTTTATGAACCTTATTTTTAATTAAAAGACTAAGTACACATTGAGCATTGAGTACCGAGTTTGTTATAGCGCAAGTACGCGGCAACAACCATTGTTGTACCAGTCAGGTACGACTAGAAATCTTGAATGATCGCACCCTGAAATTTTGTATTAATTTTTATATATAATATAGCATTTGTAAATTCTGAACGCTGATTGGCTAAGAGCCGTGTTGATATAACTCAATGTCAACACGGAAACGTCGGGAATATCAACACTCGTGGAAATAATCGGTTTGTTATATGTACTGTGAAATATCAGACCGAGGTTTTTTAGTATGGACCGAGCGACGAAGGAGCGAGGTCCATGCAAAAACAGAGGTCTGATATTTCACAGTACAGACCGAACAAGCGAGGTCAATAATCGGTGTATTATATGGCTGAATTGA